TGTACACTAGAACAGTTCTCCTGGTACACTAGAACAGTTCTCCTGGTACACTAGAACAGTTCTCCTGGTACACTAGAACAGTTCTCCTCCCATAAAAGTATTTTATTATATCACTTAGTGTAAATGACTCCAATTTTTCAACCAATTTTCTAATAATGTAAAAAAGGAAAATGAAAATTCTGGTTATTGTTCAATCACTTATAATTGATAAAAAACAAATTATATAATCGGAAATTATTAATACCAGTGTGTGTGACAGCCTTATTTTACTCTACTTGATTTTCTTATTGTCTATGAACTCTAAATCTCCTTATTCATTATATTTTTTTGTTAATTTTCTCAAATATTTTTGGTTTATTTATGTCAGTTTTCATCAACTTTCTTTCCATTAAACTTTTTTAATTAAATACTTCTTCCTTCTCTGTTTACATCAACATTGTTTAATTACTCGAAATTTTGTCTTGTCTTATATTAATCTAAGTAATAATATGCAACAAATTACAGCACAACAGAGGAATGAGCTACAATGAAGTTATCTGGATAAGTATTTCAGCATCATTATCGAGCATTATAGTGGCCCTGGTAGCATGTGACACGTCTTATAGTGACCCCAGTTGTTTGGTCACGTTGGCCACAGTTCTAGCAACGTTTCTCACCTGTAATAGAGAGTAAATTAACATTGAAGTAATGTTGGTGTCAGGTTAGGTTAGGTAACAATGTTCTCTCATATCCTTGATATTGTAAGACTAGTTAAACAGCTTAAGATTAAACGAAGGAATGAACTCTGGTTGACTGTACTGATATTAGATATGAAATTCAGGTACCAGTTGAGAAAAAAATTTAAGGCGAACAGACAGGATATTGCTCAATGAATTCCATAGGTGAAGAACAGAGTGCAGAGGCTTGTAAGAGGAGTAAAGGTACGACACTATTGCTCAAAAATCGAAAAGTACTAGAATAACCCCAGAAAGCTCTGGCAACAACTGAAACAGTTGGGGTATAACCATAAACCAGTAGATAGGTCTAACGTAGTACTAATTATCGATAATGAGGTATGCCACGAAACATCTAAGGTGGCAAATTGCTTTAATTCCTACTACACATCTGTTGCATCAACACTAGTAAGTAAACTACCAGCTGCATCAAATACCTTTAACACAGACTCTGATAAGTTTCAAACATACTATACCAATAAAGGGGTAACCCCAAACAGTTGTCAACTAGTAAGTGTATCTCATGACTTTATTCAATAAGAACTAAGCAGGTTAAACCCAACTAAGAGCACAGGCCCTGATAACATCCCGTCTAAGTTCCTAACAGATGGCGCCTCTGAATTGTCAATCCCTATTGGTCACATAATAAATTTGTCTATCACCACTAATACCGTACCGGAGAGGTTCAAGGAGGCCAGAGTTATTCCTGCCCCGTGGACTGGTGGTAAAAGCTCTCGCACAGTGAGGGTCCGGGTTCGATTCCCGGTGAAGGGGGAGGAAACATTGGGTGTGTTTCCTTACACCGGTTGTCCATGTTCACCCATCAGTAATAATGGGTACCTGGGTGTTAGTCGACTGGTGTGGGTTGCATCCTGAGATAAAATTGACGTAATTTGCCCGAAATGTTCTGTATAACAAGAGGCTTTCCATGTAGTAGTATGTTATTGATGTCAGCTATGGTCTGTATACCATGTAATTGTAGAAATAAAGATATATTATTATTATTATTATTATTATTATTATTATTATTATTATTATTATTATTATTATTATTATTATAATTATTATTATTATCATCATCATCATCATCATCAATTTAAGAAACATTGTAGGTCTCATGTCAGGAAGTATAGGACTGTTAGCATACTCAGTATTTCATTAAAAATTCTAGAGAGGACGGTGTACTGTCAAGTGGTTAAGTACCTTAATGACAACAATATTCTACGTAGTTATCAATCAGGCTTTAGATCTTACTCAACAGACACCTCTCTAATGAATCTGATGGATTACATGAGAACTGAGATGTCCATAAGGAACCTCATAGGAAATGGTAACCATAGACTTGCAAAAGGTCTTTGATACTGTCAGCCACAATATATTATGTAAGAAACTTCATGCTATTGACATAGGTTTCGTAGACTGGTTTAAATCCTATCTTAGCAATAGGAAACACATTGTCAAAATCAACAAAACAGAATCAAAACCCTTGCGAATAGTATATTGGGTTCCCAAAGGCAGTATTCTGGGTTCCTTATTATTCCTGTTTATGTAAACGACATGCCCATCAGTGTCTAATGCAGACTCCTACTGTATGCAGATGACAGTGCTCTGTTAGTGTCAGGTAAAGACCCACAAGATATTGTTTTAACACTGGAACTGGAGTCCTGCAGCAAATGGTTAGTAGACAAACTATCATTACACCTCGAGAAAACTGAAGCCATTCGCTTTGGCACGAAACATAAACTGAGAAGGGTTAATAATTTTAATGTCCAGTGTAATGGGGAGCCCATCACTTTGGTTTCATCATTAAAATATCTGGGAATCCCCTTTGACCCATGCATGTCAGGAGAATTAATAGGGAACAGTGTAGTAAAGAAAGCGAATGCCAGACTGAAGTTCCTGTATAGACAAGCACAGTGTCTACCTACTGAGGCTCGCAGGACCCTATGTCTAGCCCTTATACAATGCCATATGGATTACGCTTGCTCTTCATGGTACTCTGCCTTGACAAAAAAAGCTGAAAGATAGACTGCAAATCACCCAGAACAAAATCGTAAGATTCATCCTGGGGCTGGGACCAAGAGAACATGTAGGCCAGGATGAATTACAGCAGTTGGATATGCTGAATGTTGAAGACAGAGTAAAACAACTGAAGCTAAATCATGTTTATAAAATTGCTCACAAACAATGTCCAGAATATCTTGCTGTCAATTCTGTCAAGGTTGGGAACCGCAGCAATCATAGTACTAGGGGGAGAGAGCACAACTTTGTAGTACCCACAGTCAGTGGCCAGGCTTCAAACACCTTTTATTGTACAGCAATAAAGTAATGGAACAGACTACCTGCACATGTCAAAGCTAGTCATAGCTTGAACCAGTTCAAGAAGAGTGCCAAAAAGTGTCTGATGAATGTAGCTACAGAAAGGGAGGAGGATTTTTTATTTTATTAACTAACACACATTTAAATATAAATAATTCAATTTTCCAATGGAAATAAGTCACTCTGTCTGACTTTTGTTTTTTATTATCCCAGGTAATGTACACATATGCTGCTATGTACGATAATCTATGTCACTGTATTTGTACCTGTACCTGAATAACTTTATTTGTTTACCACTTATCTATAGCCCGCATCAGCCATTAAGTGTTGAAGCTATTCAGAAGAAGTAGACTCAAATGCATAGTCTTAATGGGAATCAAAATTTTACACGATTTTTCACATAAAATTGTCTGTGTTCTTATAACTGACTTTCACTTTCCACTGTCGTCTAATTAAAAGGCATCATTTTTGATAGTTTTAAATCAAGCACCAGAGAGTTTTGTAAATTACTGGAGGCGTTGCAGGAAGCTGAGAGAGAGTTCCACAACTCTGATCACGGGACAACTAAAATCTTGCACTAATTACCATACAAAATCACTAAAAATTTAAAGCTGATTGAATGAGATCTTCTTCTGTTATGAGAGGAATAAAAACGTAAAGTTAGATTATATCAAAATCAGGAAGGTACTTAAAGATTGTTATGATTGTTAAGAGACTCGACAGATATATCCAAATATCACTTAATTCGTGACTCTTGTGACTCACTGACAGCAAGAAGCTTCACAGGTGTATCTCAGAACATTCAAGATTGAAAAGAGCTGTAGCTCAACTTCCTGAATAAACAGTTAAACGGGGATTGCATAAAAAAACTAAACTAAAATAATAATACTAATAAAGAAAGATAATACTTGGTTTAATACAACAGAAGTATATTTATAATACACTAATTCCTAAGTACTACAGAATAATTTAGTAAGATAATCATAGTACTTAAAAAAATCAAATTATTACGATACATCAACACTAAATGTTGGAATACAATTACGTTTCCTCAAGTTATTGTTGTATAATCTGTATCTTAATTTATTCATTAAAATTCAGTAATTGGTAACTAAAGACATGAACAATCCGACGCTTTTCTTCAGTAATATAAATAAGTTTTAAAAGTGTGAAGACTATCAGACGATACATTCTCAAGGTACTAAAAGAATACAGAGGAGGAACAAATTGAAAAATATCCAAAGTACCTTCAAAGTTGTTTCTTCTGCATCATGATTAATAATAAATGATAGAATATAGAAACAGTAAGTATAGAAGCAGCGGTATATTGTTACTGAGGCATGAAGGGAAGTCCTGTAAGAAAGGAGGAACACTGCAGGAGGCCTGCTGGCCCATACTAGGCAGGTCCTTTACAATTCATCCCAATAACAAAACATTTGCCCAACTCAATTTTCAATGCCACCCAAGAAATAAGCTCTGATGTGTAAGTCCCTCTCAAATCCAACCCCTCCCACTCATGTACTTATCCAACCTAAATTTGAAACTACCCAAAGTCCTAGCCTCAATAACCCAACTAGGTAGACTGTTCCACTCATCAACTACCCTATTTCCAAACCTTTCTAAATCTAAACTTATCTAATTTAAATCCATTACTGTTATTGATATAATAACACTTAATAAGTAGGATAAGGAATTCAGTAGTTTGAAAATACATAATATGAGATGCACATAGGAAGAGTGAATGAGAGATAACGTGTTGTACATATAGCAAAATAAGAGACTTCAGAAGGAGAGAGATGATGAAAGGTTTCTTAACCTGAAATACAGTCAAGAATATTACACAAATAACCCGCACATAAAAGAGAGAAGCTTACGACGACGTTTCGGTCCGACTTGGACCATTGACAAAGTCACACTAACAGAGGTGGAGCAGGACGGCTATATATAGGCAGGAAGAGGTGGAGGTAGTAGTAGTAGTAGTACAAGAATTGTATATAATACCGACAGGATGAAATTAAGACACATGCACAACACCCGGGCATCCCCATCGTAGACGTTTCGCCATCCAGCCAGCCACTGGATGGCGAAATGTATTGTTCCAGTCACGGTATTGTGCCATTTTGTTATTTAGTCAAGAATATGATAATGATGCAGTTGTATTCTGTAGTGGGAAAATTGTCCACATACAGGAAGACCATATTATATGTGAAAGAATTTAAACATGGGAGAATAAGATGATGGGTATAATGAGTAGATGATATGTAACTTGCTTAAACAAAGATGGTCAGCAGTGTGATGCAGAGGGATCTGCTGGACTGGTAGACCAAATGGTATGGATGAAAGGTGTCAGGTGCAGCGTTTATTTAGATTCTTAGGAATAACTGGGAAATGCATCTTCTGGTAAGCTTCAAACTTTTAGTGCTGACTTGTTTTCCTCAAAGGAAGCTTTGTCTAAACTTTAACTTGTTTAAGTGAAATAACTGGAGAATATATTTCATGATCAGAAATAAGTCACAGTGATTGACTCTAGAAGATTATCCTAGGTTATCCTAGGTTATCCTAGGATATCCTAGGTTATATCTGCATAATGTACTTTTATATGCCTATAACACCTATGTGCCTCATGACTATCGCCAAGTATGTGCTTGTTATACATACTAACTTAAATATTCTTTCTGTTTTAAATTACTTGTTGAAAACATGGTCAATCTTAATACAAAAAACTGAACTGAATTTGGCGTATGAAGATCTCGATTTTTTTTTTATAGAAACTGGGGAAAACTGAAATACTGGTGTGGATATAATAATTTCTGGTGTCGTGCCCGACTACCTTCAATCCTTCAACTCTGGTATCTCGACAATGCAACCTCTCAGTGTCTTCAAGTTGATGATTATTTTCATTATTTTGGTTCCTCTGATCAGCTTGGGTTCACAGTTGCTGTTTCTTAGCGGATGTTTTGAGTAAGATTTGGGCTGTGTATCTCTTAATTTCTCATTATTATTGAAGAAATCAAAATATTAGTTTGAATATAACTTCTTAATGGGTCATATGACTGACTTCAGATGTTAGAAGTTTCATTATTAACCTACGTGGCAAATGTGGGGGTTTAAACCATGGCGGGTGACTCCTAGAACTGTGTCCAGTGTGTTAACCACTCTGCCAGCTGGCTCTAATAAGAGTCATCCAACTAGAAATATTTCTATACACCATAGGAAGGGTAGCATAGGCCCCCCACTGTGACCACAGACGCAGGTATGTACAGACGAATACTGCACCAGCGTGGCTCTGGTGTACTCTAGCTCGAGTCCCCTCAAAGCTGCCATCATGACTTTGCACTGATTTACAAGACACTGAGATGTTGCTACACTGAGATGATGCTACACTGAGATGATGCTACACTGAGATGATGCTACACTGAGATGATGCTACACTGAGATGTTGCTACACTGAGATGTTGCTACACTGAGATGATGCTACACTGAGATGAAGCTACACTGAGATGATGCTACACTGAGATGATGCTACACTGAGATGATGCTACACTGAGATGTTGCTACACTGAGATGATGCTACACTGAGATGTTGCTACACTGAGATGTTGCTACACTGAGATGATGCTACACTGAGATGATGCTACACTGAGATGTTGCTACACTGAGATGATGCTACGCTGAGATGATGCTACACTGAGATGATGCTACACTGAGATGTTGCTACACTGAGATGTTGCTACACTGAGATGATGCTACACTGAGATGATGCTACACTGAGATGATGCTACACTGAGATGATGCTACACTGAGATGATGCTACACTGAGATGATGCTACACTGAGATGTTGCTACACTGAGATGTTGCTACACTGAGATGATGCTACACTGAGATGATGCTACACTGAGATGTTGCTACACTGAGATGTTGCTACACTGAGATGATGCTACACTGAGATGATGCTACACTGAGATGATGCTACACTGAGATGATGCTACACTAAGATGATGCTACACTGAGATGATGCTACACTGAGATGATGCTACACTGAGATGATGCTACAATGAGATGATGTTACACTGAGATGTTGCTACACTGAGATGATGCTACACTGAGATGATGCTACACTGAGATGATGCTACACTGAGATGATACTACACTGAGATGATGCTACACTGAGATGATGCTACGCTGAGATGATGCTACACTGAGATGATGCTACACTGAGATGATGCTACACTGAGATGATGCTACACTGAGATGCTACACTGAGATGATGCTACACTGAGATGATGCTACACTGAGATGATGCTACACTGAGATGATGCTACACTGAGATGATGCTACACTGAGATGATGCTACACTGAGATGATGCTACACTGAGATGATGCTACAATGAGATGATGTTACACTGAGATGATGCTACACTGAGATGATGCTACACTGAGATGATGCTACACTGAGATGATGCTACACTGAGATGATGCTACACTGAGATGATACTACACTGAGATGATGCTACACTGAGATGATGCTACACTGAGATGATGCTACACTGAGATGATGCTACGCTGAGATGATGCTACACTGAGATGATGCTACACTGAGATGATGCTACACTGAGATGATGCTACACTGAGATGTTGCTACACTGAGATGATGCTACACTGAGATGATGCTACACTGAGATGATGCTACACTGAGATGATGCTACGCTGAGATGATGCTACACTGAGATGATGCTACACTGAGATGATGCTACACTGAGATGATGCTACACTGAGATGATGCTACACTGAGATGATGCTACACTGAGATGATGCTACACTGAGATGCTACACTGAGATGATGCTACACTGAGATGATGCTACACTGAGATGATGCTACACTGAGATGATGCTACACTGAGATGATGCTACACTGAGATGATGCTACACTGAGATGAATGCTACACTGAGATGCTACACTGAGATGATGCTACACTGAGATGATGCTACACTGAGATGATGCTACACTGAGATGATGCTACACTGAGATGTGCTACACTGAGATGATGCTACACTGAGATGATGCTACACTGAGATGATGCTACACTGAGATGATGCTACACTGAGATGATGCTACACTGAGATGATGCTACACTGAGATGATGCTACACTGAGATGATGCTACACTGAGATGATGCTACACTGAGATTGCTACACTGAGATGATGCTACACTGAGATGATGCTACACTGAGATGATGCTACACTGAGATGATGCTACACTGAGATGATGCTACACTGAGATGATGCTACACTGAGATGATGCTACACTGAGATGATGCTACACTGAGATGCTACACTGAGATGATGCTACACTGAGATGATGCTACACTGAGATGATGCTACACTGAGATGATGCTACACTGAGATGTTGCTACACTGAGATGATGCTACACTGAGATGATGCTACACTGAGATGATGCTACACTGAGATGATGCTACACTGAGATGATGCTACACTGAGATGATGCTACACTGAGATGATGCTACACTGAGATGATGCTACAATGAGATGCTACACTGAGATGATGCTACACTGAGATGATGCTACACTGAGATGATGCTACACTGAGATGTTGCTACACTGAGATGATGCTACACTGAGATGATGCTACACTGAGATGATGCTACACTGAGATGATGCTACACTGAGATGATGCTACACTGAGATGATGCTACACTGAGATGATGCTACACTGAGATGATGCTACACTGAGATGTTGCTACACTGAGATGATGCTACACTGAGATGATACTACACTGAGATGATGCTACACTGAGATGATGCTACACTGAGATGATGCTACGCTGAGATGATGCTACACTGAGATGATGCTACACTGAGATGATGCTACACTGAGATGATGCTACACTGAGATGATGCTACACTGAGATGATGCTACGCTGAGATGATGCTACACTGAGATGATGCTACACTGAGATGTTGCTACACTGAGATGCTACACTGAGATGATGCTACACTGAGATGATGCTACACTGAGATGATGCTACACTGAGATGTTGCTACACTGAGATGATGCTACACTGAGATGATGCTACACTGAGATGATGCTACCTTAAATTGCTATAAAATGACTGATGAACCTACCTACATTAATTTTATTTTAGTTTAAAACATTCGAAGCTAGTCATTCTGGCAACAATTAAATTGAAAAATAAATTTAAGAATAAAAATTCTAATATACTTAGAAATGCAAAGCGCTGAACGTAATGTAAAATCTCCCCCACCTGGGTAGCAATAGTTTGAAAGCTTTCTGAAGCACCGTTTATGAGATTCTTGAATGTATCTTCGTCAATGTCAATGTTGAGGCCAGAGTCTCCGCGACGAATACAATCACGTTGATTGATTTTGTCAAAATTGTTAGTGTTGACATTGAAGTTCTGTAACTTCTGTTTGATCTGTGGAAGGAGAATAGTTGATTATGTTTAAGCAGAGGAAAGAGTTACGAATCTCTACCACCCTAGAGTTAATTGTGTCTATTTTTACATGATAGGAATCTTCTGATATTTTCCTTTACTGAGGCACCATAATCAAGTTTTCCTCTACCATTTCTATGACTTTATCTATTATGACTGAGACATTCATTTTCATTACTGAACCATCATTTACTTATACATGGATTATGATCTATGGTAGTATAGTTGAGATATACTCTACCATTGCTATAGCATTCTCTACCATGGCTAAGACATACTAAGCCATTGCTAAGACATATTCTACCATGACATACACATGACTACAGCTGAGACATATTTTACCATAACTGAGACATATTCAACCATGCTTGAGACATACACTACCAGGATTAAGATATACTGTACCATGACTGGTACAGTGTCTCTATTGATCACAGCCGCTCACCCAGAGGCGGCTGTGATCCTCAGGGTTTCTGTGAGCGTTGACCTAACAGTGACTCGTATACTCTCTGGGGCTCTGGGTCTTTGCTGTGCAACATCTTACTTTGGTTGGTGGAGTGAGGTACAGGTAAGGTACTGGACCCGTTGAATCACTTAGCTGGCGTACATGGTACCTCAATGGTCTGCTTCTGAAATATTCGTCTGGACTGAGTCCTGATAAGGGTCTTAATTCGACGACATTGGTTTGTGATAGACTGCATGCGGACCAACTGATATCCGCTGCCTACGTTGTTTTTTGTTTGTGGTTCCATTTCTGGAGGACGGTTTTCCAGCACCGTTCATGGCCATTCTTGACCTCTTCCTCCTTCTGACAATAATTTGCCATTGGGTTCAATTATCTATTTTATGATATTAATCGACCATAAACTTGGCCTCCTAGTTATTTATGTTCCATATGGGCCAATTTGTTCGCTTTTTTTCTCAGAATTCAAAACCTGCAATATCTTCTACACACAACTACCAATCATTAACCCTTCCACATTCCCGCTGTATGGACTCCTTAGTTCATCCTGCCAACCTATTAAATTTCTTGATCGCTTCGTCACTTGTTTAAGCAGATTAACTTCACTTAAAAACATCACGTTTTAACTTGCTCACCTGTAGTCGATTTCTTCTTCGTCTTGAGCCAAGCATCATCTTGGTCAGTCTCAACTTTGTGATCCAGGAACATTTCTCAACTTGGGAAGTTTTACTTTCTAAATTTGATTTCGTCCATTATCAGAGATACTGTGTGCAAGTCTTGTGTTTCCCATCCTGAGTAATCTATATGCAGGATGCTGAGATCGATGAGACACATTGTTTCTCTTGTTTGCTTCTATGACCCTGCAACCTATAAAATTATTGTCGTCCATTATCAACATCTCCCTTCAAATGTATCTATCAATCTATGGTAATTTCCACAAGTCTGGCTCGTCTTTTGTTCACTGTGTTAATTAGTTTTTCCTCCCACACTGGAAGATCTTGGTGGGCTCTACATCCCAAAGTTATGTACATACATTGATGGTCTCTTACACATAGCCATCTTGTCCGTCTTGATCATCTGAACTCACTTTAGATGAATTAAAAATATTGAATATTTATTTTTTTCTCATCAAATCATCCATCGTAGTAAGCTTTCTGTGTCACTTGTTTAGCATACACAAAGACTTCGCCTTTTGACGGGTCAGAGCAATGAATGTCTAGACGGAGTGCACGCTACATGCGTTTAGTCGTCACAGTTTCTTATACAGTTTGACGCTGTTCCGGCTGTTTTCCTGCATGTTGCAATGCTTATGAGTGTTGGCATAATCAGTGGTGTTACAATGCTTCTGAGTGTTGGCATAATCAGTAGTGTTACAATGCTTCTGAGTGTTGGCATAATCAGTAGTGTTGCAATGCTTCTGAGTGTTGGCATAATCAGTGGTGTTACAATGCTTCTGAGTGTTGGCATAATCAGTGGTGTTACAATGCTTCTGAGTGTTGGCATAATCAGTGGTGTTACAATGCTTCTGAGTGTTGGCATAATCAAATAGTGTTCAATGCTTCTGAGTGTTGGCATAATCAGTGGTGTTACAATGCTTCTGAGTGTTGGCATAATCAGTGGTGTTACAATGCTTCTGAGTGTTGGCATAATCAGTGGTGTTACAATGCTTCTGAGTGTTGGCATAATCAGTAGTGTTGCAATGCTTCTGAGTGTTGGCATAATCAGTAGTGTTACAATGCTTCTGAGTGTTGGCATAATCAGTAGTGTTACAATGCTTCTGAGTGTTTGGCATAATTCATAGTGTTACAATGCTTCTGAGTGTTGGCATGATCAGTAGTGTTACAATGCTTCTGAGTGTTGGCATAATCAGTAGTGTTACAATGCTTCTGAGTGTTGGCATAATCAGTAGTGTTGCAATGCTTCTGAGTGTTGGCATAATCAGTAGTGTTGCAATGCTTCTGAGTGTTGGCATAATCAGTAGTGTTGCAATGCTTCTGAGTGTTGGCATAATCAGTAGTGTTGCAATGCTTTTGAGTGTTGGCATAAACAGTGGTGTTACAAAAGCTTCTGAGTGTTGGCATAATCAGTGGTGTTACAATGCTTCTGAGTGTTGGCATAATCAGTGGTGTTACAATGCTTCTGAGTGTTGGCATAATCAGTAGTGTTGCAATGCTTCTGAGTGTTGGCATAATCAGTGGTGTTACAATGCTTTTGAGTGTTGGGATAATCAGTAGTGTTTTCAATGCTTCTGAGTGTTGGCATAATCAGTGGTGTTACAATGCTTTTGAGTGTTGGGATAACATGGTGTTACAATGCTTCTGAGTGTTGGCATAATTTAGTAGTTTTTACAATGCTTCTGAGTGTTGGCATAATCGGTGGTGTTACCCAAAGCTTCTGAGTGTTGGCATAATCAGTAGTGTTACAATGCTTCTGAGTGTTGGCATAATCAGTAGTGTTACAATGCTTCTGAGTGTTGGCATAATCAGTAGTGTTACAATGCTTCTGAGTGTTGGCATAATCAGTGGTGTTACAATGCTTCTGAGTGTTGGCATAATCAGTAGTGGGTTTCAAGCTTCGAGTGTTGGCATAATCAGTAGTGTTGAAATGCTTCTGAGAGTTGGCATAATCAGTGGTGTTACAATGCTTCTGAGTGTTGGCATAATCAGTAGTGTTGAAAAAGCTTCTGGTTTTTGGCATAATCAGTAGGGGTTACAATGCTTCTGAGTGTTGGCATAATCAGTAGTGTTACAATGCTTCTGAGTGTTGGCATAATCAGTGGTGTTACAATGCTTCTGAGTGTTGGCATAATCAATGGTAAGAGTCACTGAAGAACAAACTGTTCTAATTAACTTGCAAGTGTCTGGTTGACAGTTTATCACTGTTGGTTGTTGGAAACAGTTTTCACATGACTGTATGCTGGACACATGAGACTGACACATGACTATACTGGACACATGAGACTAACACGTGACTATACTGGACACATGAGACTAACACGTGAAATATACTGGACACATGAGACTAACACATGACTATACTGGACACATGAGACTAACACATGACTATACTGGACACATGAGACTAACACATGACTATACTGGGCACATGAGAAAACACATGACTATACTGGACACATGAGACTAACACATGACTATACTGGGCACATGAGACTAACACATGACTATACTGGACACATGAGACTAACACATGACTATACTGGACACATGAGACTAACACATGACTATACTGGACACATGAGACTAACACATGACTATACTGGACACATTTAGACTAACACATGGGGACTAATACTGGACACATGAGACTAACACATGACTATAAATGGACACTGAGACTAACACATGACTATACTGGACACTGAGGGGCTAAAACATGACTATACTGGACACATGAGACTAACACATGACTATACTGGGCACATGAGACTAACACATGACTATACTGGACACATGAGACTAACACATGACTATACTGGACACTGAGACTAACCCCGTGACTATACTGGGCACATGAGACAACACATGACTATACTGGACACATGAGGTAACACATGACTATACTGGACACATTTAGACTAACACGTGACAATTGGACACATGAGACTAACAATGACTATACTGGACCCCATAGACTAACACATGACTATACTGGCACATGAGACTAACACATGACTATACTGGACACATGAGACTAACACATGACTATACTGGGCACATGAGACTAACACATGACTATACTGGACACATGAGACTAACACGTGACTATACTGGACACAGGAGACTAACACATGACTATACTGGGCACATGAGACTAACACATGACTATACTGGACACATGAGACTAACACATGACTATACTGGACACATGAGACTAACACGTGACTATACTGGACACATGAGACTAAAACATGACTTTACTGGAACACATGAGACTAACACTTTACTATATGGGGCACATGAGACTAAAAACATTGACATACTGGGCACATGAGAAATAACACATGACTATACTGGACACATGAGACTAACACATGACTATACTGGGCACATGAGACTAACACGTGACTATACTGGACACATGAGACTAACACATGACTATACTGGACACATGAGACTAACACATGACTATACTGGACACATGAGACTAACACGTGACTATACTGGACACATGAGACTAACACATGACTATACTGGGACACATGAGACTAACAGTGACTATACTGACACTGAGACTAACACATGACTATACTGGGGCACATGAGACTAACACATGACTATACTGGACACATGAGGGGCTAACACATGACTATACTGGACACATGAGACTAACACGTGACTATTTCTGGGACACATGAGACTAACACATGACTATACAGGACACATGAGACTAACACGTGACTATACTGGACACATGAGACTAACACATGACTATACTGGACCATGAGACTAAAAAACATGACTATACTGGACACATGAGACTAACACATGACTATACTGGA